TTTTGTTGGTCGTGGGGCTTGAACTCTGGGCCTGGGCGCTGTCCCTCAGCTCTTCAGCTCAAGGCAAGCGCTCTACCACTTGAGCTACAGCACCACTTCCAGTTTTCTGGTGGTTTGGAGATAGGAGTCTCATGGTTTGAACCGCGATCCTCAGATCTCAGCCTCCTGAGTAGTTAGGATTACAGGCGTGAGCCACCAGCGCCCGGCTACCTTAAGATTCTTATCCCCAATTAACTACCCAAAAGCCAGAGATTAAGATAGTCTTAGGGGCTTTCCTGTCCAGGCTGGCTTCGAACCAGGATCCTAAGGTCTTAGATTCCTGAGTAGCCAGGCTGATAGGCGGACTCCACCATGCCTGCCTTCTCTTTTTCATGGTACATTTCATTTGCTATTGAACTAAGGTTATTGGAGCTAAGTAAGGCCATCTTGGCATCTTGGTAGAAATTAACAGGAGATGGGGCAAATACGTCAAGAGTTGTAGGGCTCCAGGAAGCTCGGGCTTCCCCTAGATAACTGATGTCCCCATGTTCCCAGATGGGTCCGTCCCCTGGATAGTTTGCTCTGCCTCTGCATAATACTTCTGTTAGAGTTAAGTATTCCCAACTAGTTCACTCTGCTTATGTATAACCCCTTTATAGAAATAAGTATCCTCCTGTAGCTTGCCTTGTTTTATGCATAACACTTTTGTTATGGCTATTAGGGCTTGGTCTCCACCCCAAGCATGTGTGTTTTGTCTTTAGAAGTTATGGGCTAGCTCTGTTCTGGGTTGCTGTGGGTCTTTGAGACGAGTTTACCAAGCAGTGTCCGGCCTTTTTAATAAAGACTCCTGATTCAACCTCTCAAAATGTGGCTTCTCTGGTTGTCTGGATGGATCCTCTGGGATAGGAAATTATAAATCTCATCAATTTTTTTTTTTGGGTCCGGTCATGGGGCCTGAACTCTGGTCGCTGTCCCTCAGCTCTTCAGCTCAAGGCTAGCGCTCTACCACTTATAAATGTCATCAATTTTGACTTTAAAAAATGTGGCTTCTCCGTTTTCTCGCTGTACAACACTATCTTGAGGGAGTAGTAGAGAGCTGGGATCAGCTGGGTTTGATCTCAATCTTCCCAGGCCCGGGAGGTGGAGCTGCCCAGGCCCCGATGCTTATGAGGCTTTGTGACAGGGTCCAAGCTAAGACAAGGTCAAGGTCACAGAGCCTGCTCCGATGTGCCAAGATCTCTGCCTGTCCCTCCGCCAGCTTGTTGCTTCCCTCTGCTTCTTCTCCCCTCCTCTCCCTCTCCCCTCCCCTCCTTCCCCATCCCCCTTTGGGTCCAGGTCCCGCCTCTGAGCCACACCCCAGCCCTGAATTAGAATAACAAGGCTCAGGTGAGCTTGTGTGGTGAGTCCATCAGACTCTAGTTCCGATTCTCCGTCAGGTGCTCTTTGCTCCCCAGTTCCTGGTCTCTGCCACCTCCCTGGAAGCCCATTGGGTTCTCCGCCAGGATCTGCCGGGGACCCCCCACCCCCACCTCCGCCAGCCTCCACTGGCCCTCTGCCCGCCTCTCCTGACTCCAATCTGGGAAGCCAGCCTCTGCGCCTGCTCCGTGGAGCTCAGCATTCAATGAGTAATGAAACCAACTTTTCACCCCAAGCTGTGTTCTTTCCCCTTTGGAATTGTAGATCCAGTCGCGATGGAGCAGCAGAGGAGACTTACTGGAGGCCAAGAACAGGAGAGGCGTGACATTCGTGGATCAGTTTCTCCCTGGGGGGGCCCTTGGAGGTTGTGGATCTCTGATAAAGGAAATGTAAAAGCGGGTGGGGATAGCTAATAAGGAGCAGGAATATTCATGTCTTTTCTGGGGATGGGCGGAGATTCTTCAGGCAGCTCTGCGTCAGCCTTTGTGCTCTGTTCCCTCCCCCTCTCACCCCCTGGTTGTCATGGTAACTGTCCACTGTCCCCAGCCGGAAGGGTGTCACTTACCATGCGGAATACCGTGAAGTTGGAGGTAGTTTGGTGGCCAAAGGCAATCAGCTTACGCTCAATGTTGGCCAGCCTCTCTGAAGGGGACTTCTGGCCCTCAGGCATCCTTGTCCCATTCCCCAAGGCCAAGCAAGATCTGGACACCTAGAACAGTGCTGGGAGAGGCTGGGGAAGAGTGGGAGGGGAGGGGCGTGAGTGTTTGACTGGGGGAGAGGGGACACAGCCCTGGGGGGAGGAAGAGTGAGTGTATACTGTGATGGCCGGTGACTCTGTCCCTACCCTGTCCCAGGCTAGGTGCCCCTGTCTTTGAGTTGACCCAGCCGCAGCAGTGGGTGGAGGGACTGTGACTACCCTTCTCTATCCCAAAGGGTTTGAGTGTGAGGATGAGGCATTTTGCTAAATCTCCCAAATTCTATTCTGGAATGTTCTCTCTGTTAAAGAATGTTAGCCAGCCCTGGTGGCTCATGCCTCCAATCCTAGCTACTCAGGAGTCTGAAATCAGAGCATCGGAATTCAAAGCCAGCCGAGGCAGGAGAGTTTGTGAGACTTATCTCCAATTAACCAGCAAAAGCAGGTAGTGGAGGTGTGGCTCAAGTGGTAGAGCACCAGCCTTGAGTGAAAAAAAGCTCCGGGAACGGGGCACCAGTGGCTTACACCTGTAATCCTAGCCACTCAGGAGGCTGAGATCAGAGAATTTCGGTTTGAAGCCAGCCCACGAGACTCTTAATCTCCACTTAACCATTCAAAAGCTGGCACTGTGGCTTAAGTGGTAGAGCAATAGTCTTGGCACAACGAGGCTCTGGGACAGTGCCCAGGCCCTGAGTTCAAGCCCAACAATGGATAGAAGAGGAGGAGGAGGAGGAGGAGGAGGAGGAGGAGGAGGAGGAGGAGAAGAAGAAGAAGAAGAAGAAGAAGAAGAAGAAGAAGAAGAAGAAGAAGAAGAAGAAGAAGAAGAGGCAGTGGCGGCGGAGGAGGAGGAGGAGGAGGAGGAGAAGAAGAAGAAGAAGAAGAAGAAGAAGAAGAAGAAGAAGAAGAAGAAGAAGAAGAAGAAGAAGAGGCAGTGGCGGCGGAGGAGGAGGAGGAGGAGGAGGAAGAAGAGCTAAAGGGCAGTGCCCAAGCCCCCTGAGTTAAAGCCTTGGTGCCAGTAAAAAATAAATAAATAAATAATTTTAAGAAAAAGAGAGAGAGAAAAAGAGGGCTGGGAATGTGGCTTAGTGGTAGAGTGCTTGCCTCATATGCATGGGGCCCTGGATTTGATTCCTCAGGACCACATACACAGAAAAAGCTGGAAGTGGCCCTTTGGCTCAAGTGGTAGAGTGCTAGCCTTGAGCCAAAGAATCTCAGGGACAGTGTCCAGGCCCTAAGTTCAAGCCCCAGGACTTGGGAAAAAAAAAAGTTTCTACATCCTTTTCCGTGATAGAACAGGTCTTTCAAGAGGCTGTGGTCACTAACATGGAGCTGAGAACACATGTTCCTTTTTCCCAAAAGCTGAGTTGGATTTTTACAACCATGGTGGGGGGCGGGGGTTGGCAGTGTCCTGGCCTCTACCCACCACACGCTAGCAGCACCCCTTTCTTCCAGCCACAAAACCAGAAATGTCTCTGACATTGACAGATGTCCCTCGGGGGCACAGCCTCCCCTTTCCCAGTGAAGAGCCTCGGAGTTACTGGAAAAATTGTTCTCAGCTGTGAGGCAGGAGCTGGGGAGCTGGCTCTGGCCTCCCGGGGGGAGGGGAGGTGGCCAGACCAGATGTCTCCCTTGATCCTCACAGTCTGGCAGGCTGCCACCATGTACTCTGCGTCTGCAGGGGTCTCAGACACCCTGGCTTTCTCCACCCATACAGACTACCTTGGGCTTGGGGGTGGGGCCCAATTGCCAGGCTCTTGGAGAGGGGGGTCCACCTGGGGCTCTGACTAATGAAGATCAAGGTCTCATTAGGAGCTGGGCGCTGGTGGCTCATGATTGTAATTCTATCTATTTAGAGGGCAGAGATCTGACGATGGCAGTTCAAAGCCAGCCTGGGCAGAAAAGTCTGTAGGACTCTTATCTCCAATTAGTCAGCAAAAAGCCAAAAGTGGAGGTATAGCTCAAGTGGTAGAACACCAAGTGAGAATGCAAGGCCCTGAGTTAAGCTCCTACTGGCAAGAAGAAGGAAGAAGAGAAGGAGGAGGAGGGGAGGGGGAAGAGGAGGAGGAAGAAACGAGGAACAGGGTAGCTTGATGTGGTTGCCATGCCTCTAACCCCAATGTTTGGGAGGCTGAGGCTGGAGGATCTGGAGTGGAGGCTGGACCTCCACTCCCTGACTCAAAAAAAGAAAGGAGGGGGTGTTAGGGAAGTGGGACTGGATCGTGGGTCAGAATCAGTGCAATGGCCAGGACTTCAGGGAAGTCATGTACTAGTCTGGGTTCTTTGCCTCACTATACCTGGTGGCGAAGATGCCCAGAAAATACAGGCCTGGCTGCAAATGCAAATTCTCCCATTTTTATTCCTTGCTATGATGGGGGAGGGTGGGTGGTGGGGACAACTCATGACAGGGAGCTTTCTGGAAAACAAAACATAACAATAACAACAAAACCCAAAACCAAACAAGAGCAAAAGTTGAAGATTTTTTTCCCTGCACGCACTAAGGGTCAGTCCCAGAAAGGACATAATGGAAAAGTTGGAAAGGTACCCAGGAGGTCAGTGAATGGCTTTTGCTTCGTGCTGAATGGGTTCAAATGGTCTTAGAAAGTTTGATGCTTAAAAGCTTAAAAATATCTGGGGAGAGGATAGACCCTCTGCACGGGCAGGCTTTAAAGACAGGAGGCTTAACTAATAATAAATAAAACATCACAGGCGGTTCCAAGCCAGCCTGGACAGCAAAGTCCGTGAGACTCTTATCGCCATCTACCTGAAAGTTGGAAGTGGAGGAATGGCTCAAGGAGTAGAGTGCGAGTCTTGAGTAGAAAAAGCTAAGGGACAGGACCCAGGCCCTGAGTTCAAACCTGACAGCCCTCTCCCCTACAATGATAGGAGACCATTGTTTTGAGTTCTGCTAAGAACAGAAATGAATTCCCTTTCCCATATCAAGCCCAAAATGAGCCAGTCGCCGGGCATGTGGAGAAATGAGAGGAAGCGCAGCCACACTTCCCGCAGAACACTATGGCAATAAGCCTGCTTAAACCATGAGGCAAGAGGCAACTGGATGTTAACACATTACTTTTCTTTCCTTTCTGTTTTAGGGCTTGAACTCAGGACCTTACGTTCTCATTTGGCTTTTTTTTTTTTTTTAACTCAAGGTTTGTGTTCTACTACTTGAGCCATGGCTCCACTTCTGGCTTTTTTGCTGGTTGGTTAGAGATACACATCTCACAGGCTTTTCTGTGTAGGCTGTCTTGGAGCTGCGATTCTCAGAATTCAGCCTCCTGAACAGCTAAGATTACAGGCATCAGCACCAAGCTCTCATTGTGGTGTTTACATGCATGCCGCTAATGGAGTGTGGTCCCATTCACTTGAGCTGTGTTACTTTTTCTTACCTCCTGGGTCAGTTGGGGCACAGGGCCAGAGTCTCCTCACCGGCCCTCTAGCTGTGAGGACTACACTGAGAGGATATGGCTGAACTGCCAGGCGCAGCGACAGCACATGCCACCGTGACTAGGAATCCATGACAGCCTGGCACAAGCCGTGCGGGCTGACAGTTGCGGGTTCAGCCTGGGGCTCACCTGAGTGGTACAGGGGATGGCAGCTGGCAGCAGGGTCTGGTTTTGAAGTCAGAATGAAAGCAGGACCCTCAGCGAGGTCTTCTAGCCGCATGCCTGGGGGGAGGCGTTCAGTCCCTGCATTTCTACCGGGCTCCCAGGGGAGTGACGAGGATGCTGCGGGCTGCAATGGCACCAGGTTCACCAGTGGTTTTATTTCTCCATGTCTGAGAACTCATAGTCCCACTGGGAACTTGTGGCTTCCATTAATTCCTCCTTCCAGACCCTCCTGGGTCTGACAGGGACTTTCTTCTTCTCCCCAGGTGTTGTATCATCCTGGTCCTCATTCCGGTCAACAGCATCATCTAGAGACCAAGCCCAGGGCATTTACTAGACAAATGCTTTACCTTTTTTTCTGGGTACAGAGATTTGAACTCTAGGTCTCAGGCTCACTCAGCTTGCTTACTCAGATTGTGCTCTGTTTCTTTAGCCTTGCTTTTTTTTTTTTTTTTTTTTTTTTTTTTGCTGGCTATTATAGAGATGGAGTCTCAGCCTTTTCTGCCTGGGCTGGCTTTGACCTGTGATCCTCCAGATCTCATTTTCCTGAGTAGGGAGGATGATAGGCGTGAGGCCCCCACCCCCATCAGTCCTTTTTTTTTTGTCGGTCATGGGGGCTTGAACACTGGGCCTGGGCCCTGTCCCTCAGCTCTTCAGCTCAAGGCTAACACTCTATCACTAGAGCCACAGCGCCATGGTTTTCTAGTGGTTAATTGGAGGTAAGAGTCTCATCGACTTTCCTGCTTTCCTGCCTGGGCTGGCTTTGAACCATGATCCTCAGATCTCAGCCTCCTGAGTAGCTAGGATTACAGGTGTGAGCCAAGACACCCAGCTCTTTTTTTTTTTTTTTGTCAGTCATAAGGCTTGAACTCTGGGCTTGGGCGCTGTCTCTTAGCTCTTCAGCTTAAGGTGAGCATTCTACCACTTGAGCCCCAGTGCCACTTCTGGTTTTCTGAGTAGTTTATTGGAGATATGAGTCTTACAGACTTTCCTGCCTGGGCTGGCTATGAACCTCGATCCTCAGATCTCAGCCTCCTGAGTAGCTGGGATGACAGGTCTTATTTTTTTTTTAATCATCCATTTGTTATTCCAAACTTGTGGAACTTATTTATTTATTTTGGGTCCGGCCATGGGGCCTGAACTCTGGGCCTGGGCGCTGTCCTTCAGCTCTTCAGCTCAAGGCTAGAGCTCTACCACTTGAGCCACAGTGCCACTTCCGGCTTTTCTTTTCTTTTTGCTTATGTGGTGCTGAGGAATCGAACCCAGGGCCTCAGGCATGCAAGGCAAGCGCTCTACCACTGAGCCACCTTCCCAGCCCCTGACAGGTGTTGTTTTTAAGACAAGGTTTTATTTGGTAGCTCAGGCTGGCCT